GAGGCAGAGTAAATATCAGCAATTAGCATTAGGTATCATTATTACAAGGGACGTGGTGGCTCAGTGGCTAAGACGCTGAGCCTGTCGATCAGAAAGGTCGGCAGTTCGGTGGTGTCGAATCCCTAGCACCACGTAATGGAGTGAGCTCCCGTTACTTGTCCCAGCTTCTGCCAACCTAACAGTTCGAAAGCAGGTAAAAATGCAAGTAGAAAAATAGGAACCACCTTTGGTGGGAAGGCAACAGCATTCTGTTCACCTTCAGTGTTTAGTCATGCCAGCCACATGTCCACGGAAACGTCTTCAGACAGCGCTGGCTCTTCAACTTTGAAACGCGAGATGAGCACTGCCCCCTAGAGTCAGGAACAACTAGCATATATGTGCGAGGGGAACCTTTTCCTTTACTTACCTTAAAGGTGTTTTAGAGTAGAACTTAATATTCATTTAGTGTTTTGCAAAAATGTGTACTGGAAATGTGAGTTTCCACATAAAAGATGGTTTTCCTTTCTTTCTTTTCTCAGCTTTTTCCACCATGTATAAAAATAGCGGGTACAATGTTTATCGAGAAGAAAGCTTTGCGTTCATGTTCCTTAAGTTTTTAAGAGCAAATTCAAGGTTGCTTTGCAACATCCTTTGTAAATAAATGCACTCACTCATACAGCACCCTGCAATTACTTTTCTGAATGTCCATTCAAGTTAAGAATTTTCATCTCCGCAGTTGCCATAGCAATCTGTTCTCCTCTTTCTACTACATTAAAAATCCATTCAGTTGCCAATATTGAGCGTGGAACAGGGAAAAAAATTCTTTAAAATAGCTTTAGCATCTTATATGCAACAGAAAACAGAGCTGGCTTTTAATGTTAGAAGAGGTGGGTAGCTGCTGAAATGTAACAGCAAACTTTTACTGCAAAAAAAGGTTGCTTAAAAATACAGCAAACAAAAAAAATAATGTTTAATAAAGCAACTCAGAGGAAAGTGTTGGAAATATATTTTATGTAACTTTACTAAAATAGGAATTAATGGGCCACGTTAATATTTTGAGAGTGAAGCAGGCAAGTCCTGTCTTATGTAGCTTTATTCATTTATTCATTTTATATCTGAAGGTTCTCTAGCTAGCTTTTGCTTAACTTTGAAAAGGATGGGAATGCATCCAATTTCCTTTATTTAGAGATGGAATGGGGTTGTTTTTTTTCCTATTGTAAACTTTGCATTTGACGCTGATTTCTCAAATTTTGATTGAACTATTCGGAAGTCTTAAGATAATTTCGTCTTGCTCTGGGAACCTGCTTTTCATATAGCCATATGTAGCAATAATATATATTTAAATGATACCTTTCTCTTTTTATCGTGGTTAAGTATTATCTTATTGAAAGGCTCATAGTGCATACACTACATAGGAACAACAGTATTCCCCCAAAAAATTCTCTTTTAAAAGTGGGCATACCACCTTCGATTAACTGACATTTACTACTGGAGAGCTTTAGTCTGTTAAAATTGTCATTATTGAATATCCTTATTATTATGATATTAGGCTGTTGAATAAGTGATATTGCCAGTTTTGGATGAGTGTGGATTAATGCTGTTCTTTTTCACTTCCGATAGTCATCATTATTTTATAAAATAGTTTTGGTGTCAATTCTGTTTTTTTTCTTGAATATTGTTTTATGCAAACTCTCATCTTAGGCTGTTGGGAGCATACAAATGGAAGAGTAACATAATCAGAATTTTCCTCGGAAGTTCAGAGCAAACGCTGGTATTTGTAGGGGCTTAGGGTGGGCACTACATGGAGTCCCCAGCCATAGCAACAGATTTGAGATTATCTTTGACTCTTATGGTGGGACGCAGTGGCTCAGTGGCTAAGATGCTGAGCTTGTCGATCAGAAAGGTCGGCAGTTTGGTGGTCCGAATCCCTAGCGCCACGTAACGGAGTGAGCTCCCGTTACTTGTCCCAGCTTCTGCCAACCTAGCAGTTCGAAAGCATGTAAAAAGTGCAAGTAGAAAAATAGAATCCACCTTTGGTGGGAAGGTAATAGAGTTCCGTGCACCTTCGGCATTTAGTCATGCCGGCCACATGACCACGGAGACGTCTTCGGACAGCGTTGGCTCTTCGGCTTTGGAACGGAGATGGGTTCCGCCCCCTAGAGTTGGGAACGACTAGCACGCCTGTGTGAGGGGAACCTTTACCTTTGACTCTTATAGTTCCTTTTTTTTATTAAAAAGCTTAGCATCATAAATGTAGTAATAAGAAACTAATTTATCTCGACAAAAGTGCTGCAATAAACTGTTCTGCAGTTATAACCTTTTAAAATTATTGTTTCTGCTGGTATCCATAAATTCATGCAAAGCACTTAAAGGTCAGGCATTGCCGGAAAAATGTATTTTCCGATTGTTAATTAAAGGTTCATAAGAACAAGCACTGGCTTTACTCTCCTAACAAAGGGAAAAGTGCCGAAAAAAATGTCTTATTCCCAGAAACGGAAGGCAAAGTTGGGAGACGAAATCAGGAAAAGAATACCAATGCAGTTGGATGGAGAAATAATGTACACCATTCAAGTCAGGCTGGGTGAAAACCTGGACAGGTGATTGCAGAAATGCAAGTAATCCTTGAGTTATGACCGGCCACTTAGCAACTGTTCAGAGTTACGTAGTTTACACCCCCAAAAGATACTTCAGACCTGGATTCAAAGATCTAATCTACACACACACACACACACACACACACACACACACACCATGATCATGTGCTTGCATCTTGGGTTCTTAACAATTGGCCAGCATTTATGACCAATTGCAGTATCCTGGGGTCACATGAACATGATTTACCCCATTTCCCTGAAAATAAGACCTCTCTGGATAATAAGCCTAATCAGGCTTTGGAGCGCATGCGCTAAAATAAGCCTTCCCCTGAATATAAGTCCTCCCTGAAAATATTGCAACACAGCCGCAGCCATGAGGTGACCACGCTCGCTGCCTCCTACACCTCAAAAATAATAAGATTTCCCTGAAAATAAGGCCAAGTGCTTATTTCGGGGGTCAAAAAGAAAATAAGACCCTGTCGGGGAAACACGTTATGACTTTTTTTTTGTCAGAAACTGGTGTTTACTTCCTGTGAATGGGCCAAAAATACTCATGTGCATATGATGGGTTTGCTTAACAGCCACAGCGATTGCTTTAACAACCGTGGCCTTTATGACTGCCACTTTCGCAACAACCACGAAACAGGTTGTAAATCGGTCACGGTAATGTGAGATTATCCGCTTAATGACCGGCTCATGACTTATGACCTTAATTCAAGCTCAATTATTTGTTGTAAGTCAAGGACTACCTATATAGTGAATGAGCTTTACTCCCAGTTTTATTTATGAACCTGTTCTCGTAAAAATACAAAAAAAGAACGGATACTAGGCCATTCTGCTTAGACGGTGAGCTGGGAATTCACTAAGAAATTGAGTTTTACCACAGCTTTGATAGTCTAAGCTTCCAACCGAGCAGATATGACATAAAGCTCCTTAAATTCTTGCTAATATGCAAGCCAGAAACTTGCTGTTTGCTCTCCATTTAAATGTTAAGTCAAATACATTGAGAGTTTTTTTTTATTGGGAGAATTAGCTGTAGCCAAATTTCTTTGCGAAGCTTTCCAAAAATAACCCCAACGTTGCAAGGAATGGTAAAATTGGGAGAGTTATCTTGATTCTAGCAAGATGTTGGGTTGATAAGGCAGATAGCATACCTGATGGTATTTTTTTTAATAGCAGAGCTAGTTCTCATTGTCCATTGCATAGAAAAGTAATATTTTGAAGTGGTTACACACTGTTCTGACGTAGGCTTCCCAAGAGCAGGAAGCAAACTCCTTGTCCCAACAAAAACTCATTTTATTAATTTACTGTGAATTCCGCTCATTTCACATCCAGCAAAGGCTTTCAAGGGAGGATTTACGGTCACAGGCCTTCTTTGCATTATCCTTCCCCTGCCACGCCCACAGAACCTGTAGTAAAAAAATTTGAATCCCACCACAGGTCACCACATAATAAAAAAAAGAGGTTGATGTGAAGTACCCGTGGTTCGCCCATGAGGCCAATGTTGAGAAAAGACATGGACACGAGCTTTCTCGGGATGAGGCGACCCAGATTGGGGCCTGGAAGTCCCTTTTATTGAGATAGGACAAAGGCAGGAGGAGCAATCAGCATGTGATTTAAGACAGCCTGTCAAACTACAATTGCTAATCTACTGCTCAGGGAAGTTCTGTCTATATATGGTCAAATCCTGGTCAGGATGTTTTATCTTTTGGGACTTGTTTTTTCCTGTGTGGTTCAGCGTGGCTGCGCATGCCCTGTTATGCACTGGGCCATGGGTGACCGCCACACTTACACAAGGAGTTATATGACAACAGGTTGACACTTTGGAAAGAGGGCAGAGAAGAGCAACAAAGATGATTAAAAGCCTGGAGATGAAAAACCTATGAATAACAGTTGCAGGGATTGAGAATTGCTTGTCTGGTGAAAAAAAGGACTAAGGGTGACACAATAACAGTGTTCCAATATTTGAAGGGGCGAGGGAGAGTCTTTGGCCCAAAGTCACCTGGCTGGCCCTTATGGGTAAAGTGGGACTTGAACTTTAAGATTCATGTGGCATAAAGTGGAGCTTTCTTCCCCTACTTTCTATTGGCATATATGGAGTCATGCACAGCTGTAACAGCTATCCTACATTTTAAAATCCCAATGTGAAGTCTAGTTTTGTTTTTCATCATCAGGTTCAGGTGAAGTTTTGACATGGGTGGCGGGGGAATTCTGGGAGATTCTAGGAGTTAAAATCTACATCTTAAGAATTACCAAGTTTTAAAAAAAACACTTATCTCTAGATGATAAGTAATAAACTGCGGATGAACCTGCAGGATGAAAATGTTAAAGAGTTTAAAATTGCTACGTACAAAATTTCTATGTGTGATTCTGCACCGAATGATGGTTTAGCTTGGAAATGCTTTTGTCTACAACTCTACAACGAGAGTTGTCTCTTGAAGCCCTGATTGCTGTCTCCAGCTCGGTTTTGTTTGGGAACACAAAACTGTCTTCCACGTTTTGTTACTGTAATGCATTGTGCACAGGGCTAATCTTGAATGTATTCAAGTGTCTCAAGTAGTACAAATTTTAGGTACAGGGATTCCATCTGCCTTATCCAGGTGAAGGTATTGTGTGTGTTGTGGCCCACCAGCGGCCTGCAGAGCTGGCAGCAGATTCGGACAGTGAGGAGGTTGGGGAGGAACATGGGCCAGTCCTGGAGTCTGGGGAAGGCTCTGATGAGGGCTCTGTGTCAGAGGCAGAGAGGGGGCCAGAGCCGTATGCCAGTTATCAGCTGCCTTCGGAGTCAGACGTCAGTGAGGCAGAGGAACAGCTGGAGCCTGTTCCCAGTGGGCACATGCACAGAGTTGCCAGACAAAGGGAACAGCTAAAGAACAGAGGTCGAGCTGGGAGTAAGGGCACAGGTGGATCATGAATGGCCCCTCCCAGAGGAAATAAAAGAGGAGCGAAAGGGGAGTGGAGTTTGCAGGAGACAATTAGCTTGATTAATTGGTTCATGACTCTCCGAGATTCCTTGCCAAGTTTTGCAGATGTTGGCCTGTCAGCTCTCCAAACCACATTCCCCATTCCCTCCCCACTCTCAAAATTTCCACTACTGCCTCTCCAGAACTTGGCAGAACTGGCTGAATATCATCTCTGGTGGTGACCCAAACTGGATACAGTATTCCAGGTCTAGTCTTACTAATGTTTTATAAGGTGGTACTAATACTTCACGTGTTAGTTGATTCCAGTTATGCAACGGATTGCATTGGCTTTTTTGGCTGCTGCTGCACAATGCTGGCTCATATTCCTCCCAATGGGAGGAACAGCACAATGGAGGTGGTTGACCTCCCCCATTTTACGCCTCCCCTCCGTACGTGTCCTTGGTTTTTAATTCTTGCTTTTCGTTTAATTATTTTTTTAATTTATACATATTTTTTCACTGTAAGCCACCCACAGTTATCTTATGGTAAGATAGGCAGCCAATCAGTGGTGGTGCTTTGCCGGTTCTTACTGGTTTGGGCAAACTGGTAATGGTGACTGCTGGAGGCTCTGCCCACCCACCCTGATGTAATGTGCGACATTCTGCGCATGCGCAGAAAGTGGCTCCGAGCATAGTGAGTGAGTGTGCTCACACTTGCGAACCAGTAGCAAAAGTAAGTGAATCCCACCACTGCAGGTTTTATATGTGTGTGTGTGAGAGAGAGGGGGGGGGAGATTGTCCAGTAGGACTCCAAGATCCCTCTCATAGTTACTGCTTTTGAGCCAGGTACCAGCTATTTTGTACTTGTACATTTGGTTTTCCTTGCCTAAGTGTAAAATCTTACTTTTCTCTACATTAAATTTCTCTACATTGCATTAATTTAACTTTCTCTACTATCTTTCTCGCCTCCAACTGAATTGTTCACCTCCACCTGAAGTGGTGGCAATTCCCGTTATTAGTGCGTAGAGTGTGTTTATTCTCATTTTAGTCATGCTGAGAGCTACATCATAAACAGCCAGTTTTTGCCCCTTATGAGTTGTGGTGATATCATCTGCATATGCTTAACTCATTCCAGCTGAAATCAATAGTATTTTAAAATGTTTGTCTGGATGGTACTATAAATAAATAAGCAATATACATTGGTTTTTTTTCCATATTATTATGGTATCTCCTGATTATTACTCATCTGCTTTCTTTCTCCCCTCCTCAGTGGACTGATAAATAAAATAAACATTAAAAAAATCAACACATACAATTCCAAGATAGTTGTGGGTAGAATCTGTGGGACAGCTCGTCAGCAAAATTCAGATAGAAATCACGTATTAGATAGGCACACAGAAAATAATAGAAAGAAACATCAGAGATTAACTTTCTTGTGTGTGTGTTTTTTTTTAATACGGTACCTTCCCTTGTTAAATATTAAACAGCCAAGTTTTTCTATTAAGAGGTTGATAAGCATTAAATACATTTTGTTTACCACTAAAAATTCCTTAAGTGAAGAAGGCCATTATTTGTCTTGATTTTCCAGAGAAGTAACGGCAGACTTCTTCGGGGAAATAAATTGGTGGCATTTTCTGAGCATGTAGGTGACAGAACTAATGATAACTTCATTAGAAAACATCATATAACCAGCTTTCCTGGTACTCAGGTACCCAGAGAAATGAATTTAGCTACACAAAGAAACTGTTTGGCTGAGATGTTTCTTTCCTCTTTTTTATTTTTAAAAATTCTCTGCACTCTTTGTTTATCTTCAGGATTTTTCGTGTTCTCCAGAACTTATTAGCTGCAGAAATAAACTGGGGTTTGGGTTTTTATTAGGGGAAAGAAAAGTGGGACTGAGAAGGAAAGGCGATTGAGAAGGAAATGGAGTTTTTTTTGGAGATATTTCTGATTTTAGCCTCTAAATATTGGTTGCTCATCTGATTTGGAACCTGAAAAGATTTATGTGTTTGATAGGTGTTTTTCAGATGACAATTTGTCTTATCGTGACCCGGGTTTCATGTTTCTCTCTGGCTCAGGCAAAGTCTTGAGTCCTGAACCAATGACGTCGATAAATTGAATAATACTTTTGTTTTTTTTCTTTTAATTTTCCTGGCAGGCTTTGGGAACCATTACTTCAGTGCCGATTAAAGTTCCTCAGGTCAGTTCCTTGCAGAGGTTGGCAGGACAGAAACCAGCAGTGCTACCTCAGGTAGGAAAGTTAATTACTTTGATTTTATTGGCTTTCAGGAAAAAAAGACACAAAGTTAATCGAGGACTACCTTAATTGCTAGATATAAATACTACATTTTTTTAAAAAAGAAGCTCCGATCACCCCTAATATTAATCTCTTTCAAGGGAGTTTTTTTTTCTTTCTCTTTCCTTCCTTCCATGTAAATGTTGTTATGATATAATGCAATAACACTCTGGAAAACTTTCCCCTCTCTGTTATTGAACCAGCCAAGCTATCCGTTGAAGCACTGTCTGGGAGTGAATATTTTTGAGATTACTCTTCTTCCTTGATGTGAAAAGAGCTATAGGACAAAAGGTTATTGCATTTAACGGATTAACAGAGTTGGAAGGGATCTTGTAGGTCTTCTAGTCCAACCCCACCCCCCACCCCCAAGCAGGAGACCCTACACCATTTCTGATAGATGGCAGTCCAGTCTCTTCTTGAAAGCCTCCAGTGCAGTGGTGGGTTTCAAAAATTGTTTGAACCTACTCTGTGGGTGTGGCCTCCTTTGTGGGAGTGGCTTGCTGCCCATGTGACCGGATGGGAGTGGCTTGCCGCCCATGTGACCGGATATGAAGATGCCGACGACACTTGTCAGAACCACCTTAAATTACCTCACACACAGCACTGGCATCCATAAGAATATGATGTAAACTTGTTTTTTAAAAGGCATCTTTGGTTTGCGTTAAAACAACTTCAACACACTCAATGTTCTGTTTGCACCACAAACGCAGTAGTCATCCTTACCTTTCACAGAGGCACTGAGTTTTATAAATAGGAGCATGATAGTGTAGAATAATCATATCCAAGGACCAGTGGTGGGTTTCATAAAATTTTGGAACCTCTTCTGTAGGTGTGGCCTGCTTTCCGGGTCCATTGGTGGAACCTCTTCTAACCGGTTCGGTAGATTTGACGAACTGGTTCTACCGAATAGGTGCGAACTGGTAGGAACCCACCTCTGCTCCAGTGATAAAGCTCCCACAACTTCTTCCAAAGGCAACTTCTGTTCCATAGGTTGATTGCTCTTGCTGTGAGAAAATTTATCCTTATTTCCAGTTTGAATATCTTCCTTGATCTTCCTTGATCAGAGAGTGCTGAAAGCCCTGTGAAGCAGTATTGCTATTGCTAGTTCCCATCTGTTGTTCCTTGTCTGGAATTTAATGGACAGAAAGAAATCTTTTCAATTATTAGAGTTCGGAAAGGGTTTAATTGCAGTTCTTATAATTTGGCTTATGTGATCATTCAGAGCCGAAGTGGCGCAGTGGTTAGAGTGCAGTACTGCAGGCTACTTCAGCTGACTGCTAGCTGCAGTTCGGCAGTTCAAATCTCACCAGCTCAAGGTTGACTCAGCCTTCCATCCTTCCGAGGTGGGTAAAATGAGGACCCAGATTGTTGGGGGCAATACACTGACACTCTAAACCGCTTAGAGAGGGCTATAAAAGCACTATGAAGCGGTATATAAGTCTAAGTGCTATTGCTATTATTGCATTGCACTTATCCTGATTCTCCACCTTTAGGTGATCAAATACAACGATTCCTTTAAGCAGGGCGAGATTTTTTCCCGTTAGACTAATATACAGTAAACAGGCAATGTTTATTGGTAAATTACGGTGTGCTAAAATTGCCATATGAATGAAATTGTATAAGTAAATGACTTTCCATTTAAGTTGATCTATCTTTGTAGTAGGGGCTTTTGTCAAATAATTCAGGGTGTCCATGAACAAAGAGAATTGGTGTGGGGGGTGGAGTGTTTCACATTTAGAACTGCAGGAGTCTTTAAGTTATGACCACAGTTGGAACCAGATCTTCTGTTTCTAAGCAGGGTGGCTGTTAAGTGAGTTGTGTCCAATGTTATGACATTTTTGCCACGTTTGTTAAGTGAATCCTGCCATTATTAAGCAATAACCATCTTCCCCCATTTGTTTTGCTTATAAGTCACCAGGGAAATCTCAAATGGTGATGATATGACCCTGGCACGGGTGGGCTGCTACAGGTTCGCCCGGATTCGGGAGAACCCGTAGCTAACGTTATGGCCGGGTCGGAGAACCTTGAAATCGAACCCCTGGCTGACCCCACCTACCCCTCCCTTCCCTTCCCCTCCCAGGAGTCTCCATGTGGCCCGTTTTGGATGTGAGGTAAGTACAGGGCCCATGTGGAGACTCGGGGGGGTGGAACGGGCCTCCTGAAAAGTCCAGAAGACCGGAAACTCCGGAGGGCCTCCAGAACCCGAGAGAGGCAGTTTTCACCCTCCCGGAGGCTTGAGAAAAGCCTCTGGAGCCTGGGGAAGGTGAAAAGCCCCCCTCCCGCCATGGTGCAGGAGGTCAAGTAGGTCATACCCACCATGGCCACGCCCACCCAGCACCCGGGCAGAGAACCCATTGCTGAAATTTTTAAACCCCACCCCTGGACCCAGGGATACTGCAACTGTTGTAAAATACATGCTGGTTGACAGTCACCCAAATTTTGATCATGTGACTGTGGGGGTTGCGAAAGAAATGATTATGTACTTTTTGTAGCTGTGTAAAAGAGGACATTCCTTCACCTTTAATGCTAGACTTTACAAATCAAAATTCTGTGTTATTCAACCGGACAGTTAAGATAAGTTTGCAATAAGTTGGCCATGGAAGAGTGATAGTATGTTAAAAAATGAGCACGGAAAATATGGGAGACCTGTAGGACGAATGCACTTTTGAAATAGTAACTTTATTAAGAATTACAGTGCAAGGTTTGGGTGAGTAGGAGGAATGAGTGACGAGGAAGTTAGCTCTCTAAAGGAGTTTGCTGCATGGAATACTAAGCTGTAGTTATGTGAACAAGTTGGCATGTGAACTTTGACTGTCTCTTCCCACAGTCTCTTGCGTCTGTCTATCCTCTGTGCAGCTAACCATAATTTTGCAGTAGACTATTCCATTCAAACTTATTGAGTAGCCGTTTGTTCAGGTCGTAAGTGGAAATCACAATCCAGTTGTGGGTTTTATGCTTTTTTTTTTTTAATGAAGAAGAACGTTTTCAAGGACAAGAATGAAGGAGCAAGACTGCGATTTTGCACCACCACTGAACATACAATTTAATAAAAGACAGTGGCTGAAATTTACTGTTTTCCTCATGCACTTTTTGAATGAACGCCTCCAAATTGTCACGCAGTGGAACCTCAAAAGATTTCCAATGGGGACTATGATAAAATCATTTCTGGAAATGAAATGTTGGTAGAGCATCAGCTTTCTTTGCTCATAATATTTTGTATTTCAGACTGCCATCTGATTAAATTTCCTGTGCATAAGTATTCAAGAAGCAGAGGGCATAAATGTCATCATGTCTACTTGATTTTTGGTAATGTCACTGATGATGTTACCTAGTTAGGGTAATGAAACATCTGCAAGAAAACAAGCATGCTCAGAGAGCACCAAGGACACTTTATTTCAACCCTGAGCTACAAATATTCTCGTTTATTGATACTACTTGGTTCTACTTTGAATGCATAACCTCCTCTTTATACTTTTATCATCATTTAACATATGCTTGCAGTATATGTTGTTGGGATCTTTTTAAATAAAATCTCTAATCCTTTCATTGTATATTTTAACACTGTTAGTTAAAGTTCAATGACACAGTGTGGAATGTAAGGATTAAAACAGTACGAAAACAGTTCTTTATGCTAATTTTTCTTGGCCTTTGGGGCAGGACAACTATTGGGTTTTTTAAAAAAAACTTAACGTGTGCACAGCGACACTTTATTTGTTATATGTAAAAATGAATTATTTTGAAATGATTTGAAAGCAGGTGGAAACTTAAGATGTAGGTAGAATGTGCAGTTGAGCTGAATTTTCACAAGGGGGCAGCAAAGACCCTGGGTTAACCTGAGCTAGCAGTTTACATATGCAAAAGAATCACTTTTTAAGATTTTTGCACAACGCAGTCTGACGCATTTTATCTGCATATATACATTAATGCAACAATGCCAAGTGTATTTAAATTAGTCTAATTATAGCATTCATTCTGTTTTGCTAATACGATACATGAATGTAGATTTGAATTATTTTATCATCAGTATAGGTAATCCTCAACATACAACAGTTCATTCGTTCAAAGTTAAAACACCACTGAAAAAATGACATTTTTCACGCTTATGGCCATTAGCACCTCCATGGTCAAGTGGTCAAAATTCGGACAATTAGCAACTGACTCACATTTATGACTGTTTGCAGTGTGCCGGGGTCATATCATTCCATTTTGCAACCTTCTGACAAGCAAAGACAATGGGGAAGCCACGTTCCCTTAACAACTGTATCCCTAATTTAACAACTGCAGGGATTCACTTAACAACCCTGGCAAGAAAGGTCATAAAATGGGGCCAATTTCACTTAACAAACTTCTAGCGAACAGTAGAAATGTTGGGCTCCATTTGTCAAGGACTACCTGTAATGGGATTTTGAATTCAGAGGAAAGAAAGCAATGGATGAATGAGCACTTCTGAGTGTTTTTTATATTCTTGTAGTGCCAGATTTCAAAAGTACTGGGCTTTTTAGTTCAGCCCTCACTGTTTTGATCTCTGATTAGAGAACTGCAAAATATAAATGATGCTTAACAGCAGGGGTCCCCAATCTTTCGGACCTCAGGGACCACTAAATTCATAATTTTAAATCCCTCAGACCACTAATATGATCTGCCTAATGACCGGCTGGATGGGCGTGGCTAGGTGGTCATGTGGCTGGGTGGGCGTGGTCAACTCGATGTCACTCACATCAAGGGACACCTCGCTAGCCTCCACTTGCCCATCCACTTCCACCCACTCATCGCCTGCCCACCCGGGCTCCTTAGAGCCCCAACAGGAAGCAGTTGTTGGAGCTAAGCAGCCACCATGAGAAAGAGTTGGCAAAACAGCTGGCTCAGTTCAAATTGGATCTGACCGAGAAGGAGGCTCAGCAGAAGCACCTCACTGAGGACTACGAGTATAGGCAGAGGGAAGTCCTGCGGGAGTGCAAGGCCAGGTACTGGAGCCTGAAGGCTCAGCAGGCTGAGATGGAGCAAG